TACCAACGGAAGTCTTTCAGACTGTAAGCTTGAATTGTGCGAAAATACCAAACTATATTCAAAAGTAAGATGTGCAAGGTTTCTGTAAAGTTAATAGTGATCTTGAAATTCACAAGCATTTACAGTCGCTTGGATGGCAATGTTTTGTAATCTAGTTTTGTTGAGCACACAAGCCATAGTTCAGTAGCTGACTTCACAGTATCATTCTATATACACGTAACAATCTTCATTTCTAAATGTTTGGTATTTACGTTCATCTGTAAAAAAAGTACTGACTCCTAGGAACCCATGTCAAAAATAGTAACAATCTGAGAAGCTACTGTCATCCCTATTCTGAATGCAAACTGAAGAGCTTTGCCACTTCGCTGAGATCATCGTAACTCTTGCCATCCTTAATGATCTGGAAAAGAAAGATAAATATTAACCAAAAGAGAAGAAAGCTAGAAACATCAGACACATACAGATAAACAATACTAGTGACACACAGACAGACAGACACACACACACAAATATCTAAGTCCCTATCATATGCATTTTTTCCGTCAATTTTTGTGTTTCTGCGAGAATCTGAAGCTTTGAAGCATTTGACTAATTAATAAGAAATAAATGTAAAGGCAGTTTATAACCTTATGAAAACCTTATTTAAGGTTCAAGAACATATCTATATACAATATATATATTTTTTTAAAGTGATTCCTGGGAGCTCACTTGGATGGCACCATGTTTGTTTACATGGGCACTACACTTGCTGCATATGAGAAGTTCACATGGAACTGCAAAATTTGTTAGTATGATAGGGCCTTAAGAAAAAGCTAAAAGCTTCCTCTTAGCTAAGTGCCTGGACAAATATTGGCATTACACAAAATACACAAAATGGCAAAAGAACCCTTACCTTCCTTGCAATTGGCATACGGTTGAATACATTCCATAATACAATGCCTACGACAATGTTGTCTCGCAGATAAAAAACAACTCCTTTGCCATAATCTTCACCAGACACTGGGGCATGGGGCTCGCTGGAATGTGCTATGGTGCCACTTTCTGCAGCCTAAAAAGAACAAAATTTGCAAGTTTAAAAAGAATAAGCGAAACTGAGTGCTTTCAAAACTATAACCTTTCTTGACAGCAACATAAACAATTATAATATTGTTTACATGTAATTGTAGTAAAAATATACAATCCCTGGTTATAAAGGAAACAGTTACTAAAATAAAAATATTAGTTTCTTCTATGCTAGCACCCGCTACCATATCAAGGTATAAAAATGTGTTAGCATATAACAGTTTCATCCCTGAAAACAGCTGTACAAAGAAGGGAAACTCTTACACTTTCAGTTTCTGACCGCATGCCTTCTCCAGTAGCTTCAACCACTGCCTTTGGTGTGTCCTTCTCAGTGGCCTTAGCAAACACACCTACTGTTGGTAGGGAGGAGTCCACAATACCAATAGCCTCATAGCCAACATCGGGTCCCAGGTCAGACCAGAACATGGACTGGTGCCAGTATGGCTTGCCTGAAACATATGAAATAAATAGATAATGCAAGGCAAACACTGAAAGCAAAAATAAGGTAATCACAAAATATTTGCTTGCTTGAATATTTCTGGTTGCAGAGGAGAGCACTAATTTCAGTCATATATAATACAGAAGTATTCAATACTTAAATAATGTTTAATCAACAATAATGCTTTGTCAGCAATACCTAAGAAAACTATTACTTTCTTTGGAATGAACATAAGCAATGAATTTAAGTATTAACTGAGCAAAGCTTGTCGATACAGATTTAGCTGACAATAATGAAAAACAAAAGCACAGATATTTCAGTATCATTAACCCATTGCCGACTGGCATGCCATGCCATGCCCACTGTGAGTTTACTTATTTGATTGTTTTTACCCATAGATGGCTACACTTGTACTAAGTCACCAATGAGCCAATTACGAGTTCTGCCTGTCTTGCCCGTTCACCCTTTTCTTTAATTTTTGAAAACATTATAGTAATTATAATGTTTATAATAAAAATAACACCATCGATATTCATAGCACTAGTAAAAAAATATATTTTCCTGCCAATTAAAGGAATGATGATATCATGTAAAGCAGAGCCATCTATATGTAAAAACATTTCACAAAAAAATATAAAAAATGAGCACAGCATTTTCCCCATTTTTTATTCAGTTTCCCCGGTGGCAATGGGTTAATATCTAAATGTCAGTTGGGAAACATTATTTCTATTCCTAACAAACAAACTGGCCGAGCAGGTGTGTGTTGAGTTTTGTAACCCATTTTCCCGACCCCAGCAGTCCTACCCCCACTCCCCACCATATTAAAACCATTCCTCTATTTCCTTCTATAGAAAAAGACGGAAGAAAATATTCTATCACAAATTAACAACCAGGGCAACAGAGCCCTAAACAAGGACTTACCAACGCCTGTCATATTTTCACCAGCCAACCTTCCAGAAACAATGGCGTGATCGTGGTGCTCCACACGTCTGCGTCCAAGCTTGATGTCATAAAAGCAGGCAGCATCTCCAGCCTTGGTGAATGCAAGAATTTTGAAATCAGTTTTGGTACAGTACAACTTTCTCATTACAAACAGGGAAATCCATGATCCAACTACTGGAGTAATATCAATTTTATGCAGAGGAAGTAAATAGAGGTATGAGAACCCTGAAGTGTAGAGTTGGGAAAGCTTGATTTATACCCATATTTTAGGGGAATGGGAGAAATCACTGCTCTCTTCAAGCAATTTTTACGGTTTCCTATCATAGAACAAAGAATCACTACCAAGGAGACACTTACCACCCAGAGGTCAGTCCTTGCTTCCAGCTCAGCATTTACTCGGAAACCACCATGAATGTCATCCACTTCCAGTCCAGAGGTCTTTGACAATTCGACATTAGGCTCCAGACCAACAGCTACAACGATGTGGTCAGTAACGTGCTGAAGATAAGGAAATGGTTAGATCTGATGTTATCCCACAGATGCTGTACAAAATATTTGCAAATATATACATAACCTTTGATGCCACTTTTGCAAAATGCTCCTCACTACTGCAACAATGGAGAAAAAATCAAAATTGCTCATCTAAAAGTAAACATCTTGAAGCTCATGTTAACTCAAGGCCACTGGGAAAAATGCTCTGCTAATTTATTTGTGTGTGTGTGCATGTGTGTGTGCAGTGTCATATAGCTCTGCTAGTGCTTAGCCACAAAAGGAGTCAATTAGTAGACCTTGTGACTTTATCTGATTTCACCTTTCCTTGAATTGGTGGGAAAACCTTTTTTTTAATACTAATGCAATGTACATCAATGGTGCTATTTTTATTATAGATATTATAATTACTATACAGTTATAGACTTGTAATTGGCTTGTTGGTGACTTAGTACAAGTGTAGCCATCTATGTGTAAAAATAATTGTGTTTGTGTTTGTGTGATAAAGTAAACTTACGGTGGGCATGGCACGTATGTACATGTCATGCCCGTCAGATCTAGGTTAACCCATTCGCCCCACATGGCAAGAATAGATGCCATGCCCACTTTGATACACGTTAATTTATTGTATTTACACATAGATGGCGCCACAAGTTCTTAATCACCAAACAGCCAGTTATCAAGAACTACCTAGTTCACCTGTTTACCCTTTTCCTTCACTTTAGGAAAGGGTTTTTTGTATCATTTCATGGTCTAAAATATTCTAATGACATTTTAATAATCATAACATCAATAACAATAAGAATAGTATTGATAGCAATGGTATTAATTTTCCTGCCAATTCAATGAATGGGAAAATCAGGGTTGGTAACTAGGGCCTACTGATAGACTCCTTGCTGGCTGAACACACGTGGAGCCATCTGTATGTAACAAAATTCACCAAAAACTACAGGGGACAGAACATAAATCTGGGGCGAATGGGTCAAGTTCTAAGAAGACAACAAAACAAGGTAAAAAATCTTACTTCAACTCCAGTGTTGAGAGTTAACACCACTTTGCCTTCATCGTTGGTGCTGACACCCTTAACATAAGAGTTGGGGATGATGTCAGCTCCTTCTGACTTGACCTTCTGAGTGGTCCACTTGGAAAGGTATTCAGGGAGAACTTTTCCCATGTTACCTGACTCTGGGTACACCTGTGTCACTTTCCCTTTGCTTATCTTTGCTGTAAAGTGTAGGAACAGTCATGAAGCACAACATATTCTTCTTGACGTTTTCAGCAATATCAGTTTATTTATCAATCTGACAAACTTGAATTTGACTAGATTAAAGGGCTAATGTCAACTAAGCTCATAATGATATCCTTACCTTTGTGACCTAATGCACAAGCAAGTTCTGAGCCCAGGAATCCACCACCAATAATTGTGATGTGTTTCCCGTCCTGTGCTATGCTGTGGAGAGTCTGGAAATCCTTGATGCCACGGAAAAGGGTAACTTTCTTTTGAATATCTTCTCCAGCTCGGTCCAGTATGGGAAGGGACTTGGGTTTACCTCCTGTTTATTTTGAAAATCATGAGTTATTGTACCTTATTTCATCTTACCCTACCACACTAAATTTATTTCCTTTTAAGCATACTGTGGGAGCAAATTCATATTCGAAGGTTGATATTTTTGTATTAATATGGACAACTCAACTCTCTCTTTTCATATAAAGAGAAAAATTTATTCAGCACAACGAAGATTCTTTTTATTCATATACTCTCAAGAATATCAAGGTACTTATTTTGAATTATATTATATATTACTCCTCTCCTGCTTGATAAGAGGTAATTAAATGCATCTGCCAAAGTCTTTGCACATAAAATAATATACTATATCTTGCATTACAATCACTTCCCACTCAATGCTACTAAGCTCTTCATAAAAAAATAAAAATAAATCAACATGACTGAGTAAGCAAGAAGCAACATTTCAAGAAATCAACCAGACAGATCTCTCAAACCAGGTGAGCTAATCTTGTTCTTTCTACCTGTAGCAATAAGGCACTTGTCATATCCAATTTCAGTCCCATCATCTAAATAGACGCGCTTCTTGTGGACATCCAGCTTGACTGCCATGTGACCTTTCAGAAGTGCAATGCCTCCATTCTCCCGTGTGGTTAAGGTTTCAATGGGGGTGTAATACTCATCATGTTCAAAGAAGATGCTGTCAAAGAATAAAAAAAAATTCCACTTAACTATGAGGCTAAGGTTTGCCAACACTAATGTTTGAATATAAAGGATAATATATACGAGTTTTAAAAAGTAAAACAAAAAGCACTGATGAAGGCACAGTTCATTTACTGGCTCACAATTTTTTTTCCTGTATAGTAGAACTGAGACCAGTGAAAACAGGAGTTGGGAAAGAGATAAGCCAAAGGAGATGAAAAGATAAATAAAAGAAAGGAGAAGGAAAATCATAAATCATGTGCAAACTTCCAGCAAAACCTTACCTCCTTTCCTTCCCATTCCACTGTTTGAACCTCAGTTTTGTGGCTGTTTCAGGCTCATCACTGTACCATAGCTCTTTGCTGAGGGGTGGCCTCATGTAGGGAGCTTCACCCTCACCAGAAATTATAAGCACCTGCAAGACAAAATTTGGGATTATAATCACCATCTAGTTCTAGAAGATTCACACAAGCAAAGCTCATTATTAAAAGTGAGTAGGTAACATTAATATGAAGAGCATTATAAATATAATAAATCTGGCATATTTAGATGCTGCTCCAAAAAAATCCTGAACTTCTTTATAAGAAATTATGATATACATGTAACCACCCAAAAACAGAATATAAAAGACAACTTAGTTCTTTTAAATCTAGAATTTTAGAAGCTCTAAAAAAATCCATGTCACCACATTTCATCCAAATAAAATCATGCCAAACATTTGTTGTCAAAAGACCAAAAGTATTTTGTAAGATGAGACAGATAGCTGTCTTCATTTCCCAAAGATTCAAGGAATCACAATAACCTAAGAGATCTGAAGAAGAACTTCAACTGCATTTCAGAACTAACCTTTGCTTTAGCATCTTTCGCCTTGATGGCCCTAAAAGCCGCTACTGAGGCTGTTCCTGCACCAATTATCAGGTATGGAACATGTTCTGGCACAGATGGAGCTGCAGCTGAAAATTTACCAGGCATATTATGAAAAGAAGTTATATCATCAATTAAAAGATATGAATGAGGTTAATTGCACATGAGGGCTATGGATTATGGGAAATTCTAAAAAAAGGTGTATATTCCAAGAATAAAGTTTCACATATCAAAATAGAAAACATTACATCTAATCTAAAATTAGGACATGTATATATAAAAACACATACATGCACTTGGACAGACAAATTTCCTGACATAACATAGCAATGCTGTTAGCATATCTTCACAATTACCTGCAACTATATATAATACAAACCTGAGTCCTCACACTATTCATGAACCTTAAACCCAAAGGATCAACTTCCGCAGAATTTATTCTCTGCCCTAGACCCAGAAATAATGCTGAGTATATAAAAGTCCTATAGTTGTCAACAGAATAACAAAAAAGCAAATAAGAACGTACAAGTGTCGCATACTTCATTCCAGTGGATATCAAAATCAAAATAATGAACATTCTTTCTATTTCTCCCCCCCCCCTAAATAATCATGCATATTAATGCTTACACTGACTGTTAGGTAGCACTTAGCACTTTATCATTAGTAGAGTAAATCTTAAATTAGTACTAAGCAACAGCATTCTCAAACCTTCAGACTTCACTGGGGTGACTACAGTGTCATTTGCTTTTTCTAAATTGGAAGAGGCTTCAGCTACAGCAGCCTCCTTGATAAGCTCAGATTCAGCTGTAGGCTCTACTGCTTCGGCTGCAATTGGTTCAGCAACATCTGCTTTACCCTTGTCGGAAATTTCAACAGCAGGTTCTGCTTCAATTTCTGGAGTGGTTTCAACAGCAGGTTCTGTTTCAACTGCAGGAGCTGCTTCGACAGCAGGTTCTGTTTCAACTGCAGGAGCTGCTTCAACAGCAGGTTCTATTTCAACTGCAGGAGCTGCTTCGACAGCAGGTTCTGATTCAGCTGCAGGAGCCACTTCAACAGCAGGTTCTGTTTCAACTGCAGGTGCTGCTTCAACAGCAGGTTCTGTTTCAACTGCAGGTGCTGCTTCAACAGCAGGTTCTGTTTCAACTGCAGGAGCTGCTTCAACAGCAGGTTCTGATTCAGCTGCAGGAGCTACTTCAACAGAAGATTCTATTTCAGCTGCAGGAGCAGCTTCACCAACAGGTTCTGCCTCAGATTTAAGGGCTGTTTCAACAATAGATATTTCTTCTATAGCAGGCTCTGCTTCAGGTTTTGAGGAAACATCAACTGGCTCTGTTTAGATAATAGAGCGGATTCAGCAACAGTCCCCAAAATAACTTTGGGAACTGCTGCAGCATCTGCTTCTGCTCTAAGAATTAGCTCAACCAGAGGTTCTACTTGAAACTCAGGGGTTGGTTCTGTCACAGACTGAGTTTGATCTAAAGCTGGAACTGATTGGAACTCAATAGTGGCTTTAAATAGGAGTAATTTAGTAAATATGAATCTTAATACTAAGTATAACAATTGAAAGTCAATGACTATAATTCAGATGTTAAAGGAAAGTGGAAGCTGTAAATATTAGAGTAACTATCATCATCTTAGAGAAAGCTATATTAGTTATCTATAATGAAACTTTACATCACAGAGTGAGAAACTTCACATGCAAAGGAAAGGGAAAATTTGTGAAGGGAAAATCTCTAGGCAATTTAGAAAGTGTCAAATGGATATTATTTTGTAAAGTTTTAATTTTGCTTCCCTTTCTTGTAAAGCTAAGATTGTACTAATACTGTAGCAAGTTATAAATAAATGATACAAAATCATAATTTAAGAGATCTTTTTCATGTAGTACACCCTATCAATGTACAAAATCCACCATTTTCACATTGATAATATCTAGTTGTTCTTATGCAAGTTCATATTAATAGACATCTCTGATATGTGGCACTTTGACAAGAGAAGTATGTACCATGTGCCAAGTCTCGTGACTAGGGAGATGATGCCAAATCTACTGGCACGCATTTGTTAATTACCCGCAAAACAAAATCATCCTGACAAAGTGCTTCACGTCATACATAGTCATGAGTTTCACCAACACTACATCAGAACCAGAAAATTATGAATTGCAGATATAAATGACATGTTAGATGCAAAATCAGCAAGAGCAACAGTGCAATTGTTGTTGAGGAGATGGATGCCAAGTGATCTATGGGCACAGTGCCAAGAGACAGCAGAGTACCTCTCTGATGCAGCCTAGATGCAGTCTCACCCGAGCTGTGAGAGGGAGCTGGCAAGGCGTCTGACAAATCTTCCCGGATGTAGATAGCCAAACTTATTGCCACACATACATGAGAGCAGAGTGTTTTCTGTCAGTCTTCTCAAATTATGAACATTTACAGATCCAGTCACAATTCCTTGAGTGTATTCATTATGCTTATTCTGTACTCAGCATTTGCATCCAAGAAAATTAGTTTTTTTTATTGAATTTGTAAACTTTCTATACTTGTTATGCATTTAATACTAATTCTCTGAATAAATGAGTACTCATTATTCACTTTTTCTATTTAAAAATTAAAGCCAAGAATAGAATGCAATCATTCATATCTATAGACTATATTTGCCAATAAGGAAGCCAGGGAACAAAGTTTAATGTAAACATGTGGGTGGCAATAAAATTTTGAAAAAATGTAGCTAATTTATTACAGCTCTTTAGATATATATATATAAAATTATAATACAGCCTAAAATGAATACAATGTCTTGCTTATGTACTTATACCAAACCTGGTAAGCAATAACCAAAGACAAATGTTTGACTAGCATTTTCTAAATATAAAAAGACCTAGAGCAAACTGCAAGACTATGGAGAGGTAGCAGCACTTTCACAATAATCAACCAAGTTCAAGGATCTAGATGATATTTTCTTCCTCTGATGATAACCCACTTTACTATAACTACTACCAAAATTTGAGCAATGGCCCTGGAGCTCCCATTTCAATGTGTACTAACCTATGGTGGGTACCTTTATTTAAAATGAATATGGCTCATTGCTGTGGTTAAGACAGTGGAGCCCCAGCAACAGCTGGTTCAGGTGCTACAGGCTCAGCAGCAACAGCTGGTTCAGGTGCTACAGGCTCAGCAACAACTGGTTCAGGAGTAACAGCCTCAACAATAGCTGGTTCAGGTGCTACAGCCTCAACAACAGCTGGTTCAGGTGCTACAGGCTCAGCAACAACTGGTTCAGGAGTAACAGCCTCAACAACAGCTGGTTCAGGTGCTACAGGCTCAGCAACAGATGGTTCAGGAGTAATAGCCTCAACAACAGCTGGTTCAGGAGCTACAGGCTCAGCAACAACAGCTGGTTCAGGAGCTACAGGCTCAGCAACAACAGCTGGTTCAGGTGCTACAGGCTCAGCAACAACAGCTGGTTCAGGTGCTACAGGCTCAGCAACAACAGCTGGTTCAGGAGTAACAGCCTCAACAACAGCTGGTTCAGAAGCTACAGGCTCAGCAACAGTTGGTTCAGGAGTAACAGCCACAACAACAGCTGGTTCAGGTGCAACAGGCTCAGCAACAGCTGGTTCAGGAGTAACAGCCTCAACAACAGCTGGTTCAGGAGCTACAGGCTCAGCAACAGCTGGTTCAGGAGTAACAGCCTCAACTACAACTGGTTCAGGTTCAGAAACAGCTGGTTCAGGTGCAACAACCTCAGCAACAGCTAGTTCTGGTGCAACAACTCCAACAATAGTCGATTCAGGCGCAGATGCTTCAGCAGCAGCTTGCTCACTTACAATATTGCCAATTGTTTCACTTGCAGAAACTTCAGTAACACCCTGTTCCAGAGCAACAACCTCTGCAACAACTGATTCAGAGGCAACAATATCTACAACAGCTGATTCACTGGCAACCACAGCAACAACTGGGTCAAGTACAACATCAACAACCACTTGCTCTTCTGCAACCACC